GGCACCCAACCAACCGCTCTCGTCCCTGGAGGAAGGGAAGGAGGGCGGGAGGGAGGAAGGGTGGGAAGGAGGGAAGGAAGGAGGGCAAGAGGGAGGGAGGGCAGGAAGGAGAGAAGGAGGGAGAGACAGACGTGTTCAATCGCCAAGCTAATGCACATTCAGTCATGTCTTCTCTTTGGACTCAGAAGTCCGAGAGGAATTGGAAGAAGGGGAAGAAAGGGAGGGAGGGAGGGAGGGAGGGAGGGAGAGAGGCGGGCAGAAAGGAAAATTTCAAACCAGAACCACGGACAAAAAGCTTCCAAGGAAGCGAGAAAGGAGGGAGAAAGAACGACGGCAAGCATACTGCTTTCCTTCCTTCTTCTCTCCCTCGTTCACCTTCCTTCCCCCCTCCCTCCTTCCCTCCCTCCCTTTCCCCCCTTCCTACCTGTTCATCCATTCCTGTCGAACGGATCGAAAGGTCTCCATGTATGCCTCCGGAGGGTATTCCCCGTATTCCTTTATAAGTGTCTCCCGGAGAGATGCCTGGAGGAGGGGGAAGAGGGACGAGGGAGAGAGGGTTGGAGAGGGCTCTTTCTCTGAGGGCAGGTGCCGAGAAAGGGAGGGGTGCAAGGAAGAGGGAGAGGAAGAGGAATAAAGCCATCTTTCGGGAGAAAGAGACCACCCTGCTTCATCCAATGCAGCTAATGCATGGTGCCTTACCGTGTAGTCTTTTAATATCGTTTCCGTGGAGTACTCTCCCTCGTGTAAAGCGCGGGTGATGAGCATGGACTCCCATCCGGTTTCCACCACCGGCCGCACGGTGGCGAACGAAGACAAGATATTGGGATCGGGCCTGGGAGATACAAAGACAAGCGGACAGACGTCTAGTTTCAGGGGCGTTGAGTGAACTCGACTTTCCCTCTTGATCTTGTCTCTTTCCCCTCTCCGTTCTCTTCACTGCTTACCTGTCTGGCCATGAATGTGCCTCACTCGGCCAAAATCTACGGGCCGCAACCCACCCTGTCATGCATAACTCTTTGGCAGAATGACACAGCACACCGTCGAAGTCGAATGCCCACAAAAGACGAGCCGGCGGAGGAACGGAGGGCCGCATGGTGTTGGTGCCGGGGCCTTCGTGCTAGAAAAAGAACAAACAGAATTGAGCGTCCGTAATCTCATTACGAGCTTGAAAGACACTTTTCGTAAGGCTTATGCCACAGGAAGTTGATATCTTTGTGGCTGTGTGGATGAACGTGGTATGCCACAAAGACGTACGGTAATGACAGGAACCCTAGCGGCCCATATCCGTGTTGTGATCCAAGGTAATGGAGTGGAAGTGGACAGACAATTCACCGAATAGCCGAATGGTCACCACAATTCTTGTACGTGCATGTAAAAACTCAATTATTGAAGGATGGACGAGCCATAACTTGGCAACGATGCATGAGAAATAATTGAAAACGTATGTTTTGCCCTGCGGCCGGAGACGGGCTTCGCGGATGAGGAGGTTGGATGCTTGTTGTAATAAGTTTCCAATCCATTACGTTCAGACAGCTACAAATACATACACCGCGCGGAAAGAGGGTGCACTTGCATACTCTCATGCATGCTGTACCTAGTGATGACGATGCCTAGACGCCACGTCTCCATCAGAAGAGAATTCGACGAGAGGGGTTGCTTCGCCGCCGGGGCGAGACAGACTTCTGAACACAGGGTGTGACGTGTCACGAATATATACAAAGCCGCACAGGCCGGACAAGCCGCGTGACTTGATCAACATATGGTCATTCCGCGAAATCCCAGCGTAGTGACCACACGCCCACGGGGCGGTGGTTTTGAAAAACGAAGAGAGAGAGAGATGGAGACTGGAAATTGAAGACTTGAGGCGCAAGCCTGGAGATTCTTCCTTCTTCAACAAGCGGGAAAAGAGTGAAGTAGACCGAAGAAAGCGGGCGCGTGCACGCCGCGTAAGGGTGCCTTCTTACGCCTTGACGTGGGTGCTTGGACGCGGAGGGAGTGGCATGTGGCCTGCGTGGTGTTTAGGGCCGAGTGTTGCGGAGTTAGGGAAACTGATTCAGTGAACGTATATCTTCGCATTCAGTTTCCCCTCCCGGTTGCAGTACAACCAGGACCAATGCAAGTGCCACCGACGGTCTTCTGGAAGCGGTTGCTCCTCTCTCTGTGTTTAGGGATGCCTGTCACTGGCTTTGAAGCGTGGATGGCAATGTTGTGCATGCTTTTGGGCGCCTTTGTCACGGGGTCGGAGGGAAATTCGGTGGAGAGAGACCAGCTAAGCCAGCACCCTCATGAAGCAACACGATGGAGCGAGGAAACCGGCACCCCGATAGAAAATCTACCCCTACAATGCGTGCCGCATCAGCATCGGACTCAAATGTGGTATTCACTCACATTCACTCACATATCTAGGCTAATGTGATCATTAGGTGCTTTATGCTGACAAACTCTCCATATTTTTCCTTCTCTTCCACCCGAAAATGTTAGAAGCCTATACTACCCATGGCACGTTTCTCCGCCCCCTTTTGCCTCCGTGTGTTTGGCGCAGGCGTTGTGCTTGCCACGGCTTTTTCGCTCCAAGCGCCCTTATCCAGCCGCAGCACTGTGTAAGTGGACATTGGGAAGCTGAGAAATGGGCTGGGAGAAAGGGGGTCGGGCAACGGAAGCGAGCAGGCGATTTTTGGGAACATGCACGATTAAGAAGCCCCGAAAAGAGCTTCGAAGCTAACCGTTCCTGTCTTCTTTGTGACACTTCCACCTGTATTGGTGGTTACTCCACGCCGGAGGTGATTCACGGAGTCTATGTCTACCTCCTCCTCTCACATCCCTCCTCCTTCCCTCACGTCCTTCTTTCAGAGCCCCGGCAGGGAAGGCATTGGCCTTTGCTCCTCCCAAGGGCACGGGGGTACCTGCGCCGGCGGGTCTTGTGAAGAAAGAGAATGACTTCTCCTTCCGCCTCCAATCTGTGGCCGGGGGGGCGGCGGCCCCCGCGCCGAAGAAGAACGCCTTGCTGGAGAAGGTGATGAGTTGGGAGTGACAAGGGAAGGTTGGGACGTGATGAGTGG